AATAAAACCCATGGGCAGAAGAAGAACCCATGGGGTAGAGGGCAATGAAGTGGCAGATAGGGCAGCAATCTGACATCAGCGGAAGAAAACTATTCAACATCCAAGCCTCCGTGAAACCTGTCAATAAAATAACCATGCCTCGAACTGATGAAATCAAATTGACAAGGTTAAGGCTCGGTCATTGTGGACTAGCACGTGGGTTGGTGCTTGTGAGAAAACACAGAGATGGCAACTATGACAACTGTGGAGTCTGTCCAACATATTTTGATGTATTGTCCACTCTATGTCAAAGAAAGGAGAAAGTTATTCATAGAAATAGGCAAACTGGGTATTGAAACCTTTTTTTATAAAAACACTGCTTGGTGATGGGATGTACAAGAAGGAGAGAGATAGGGAAGTCTTGCATTCCCTTAAAACTACAAATTTATATCGCAAGATATAAACTGAGGACATAAACTGCAGTGATGGTTCTTTACCTGTGGGAGGCAGCAATGCACTAAATAGTGCCTCGTCTGGCGGAAAGAAAGAAAGAAACCCGGAAGTCGTTAGGCCAGGCGGGATGACCGGACCGACAAAATGGCGAAGGATGAGGAGTTACGGGTAGGCGAAGACAAAAACATTGATCATGATTCGCTTTGACAAACAACACAACAAGTGCCGATAGCATGTCACGAATAAACAACATAAAATAGGTCGCCAGAGTTGATGGGTGGATAATGTAGCGCACTGCTAAGCAGTAAGAGGCCTTTTCATATCGGATAATTTACGTTTCGGGCAGTTAGCTTCGAAGCTAACAGATTAAGTGTAGTCGTTAATAGGTTTCTAGTTAGCCTTCACAGCCAGCTGAGACTACATTGAGCTGTGTTTCTTCTATGGACTCTAAGGCATTTAAAGCTTTCAACTAACTCATAAGTAATGTTAGGTACTCCAGTGCTACGCAATTTACATCACGAAAACACAGTTAGGTCAAAGTAAAGTTTAGGTTAACTTACTATCGTAAACGTCACGGTGTAATAATTTGATCATCTCAGACTTGTACAACAAACTATTACAACTTACGGAAATGCAGACAGGGCAGAATATAACACTAAGAAACACCGGTTTCCCTTTAAAGATACCAGGGGCCTGCAATACGAAGCTGGTTCAACTTGCTAACTCGGGGATGACCAACCCTGATTCATTGAATCTGTATGAAACGGTACTACAAAGCTGGTTTAAGTGTTGAATGTTAAATGTCTGTTGAGGCCGTGCATGACTTGTCCGCGGTCGTTCAGGGGGTGTGTTTGGCAGCGCAATCCTGTGCACCGTATTTCAATGAGAAAGAGTGCACGTTGAAATTGAGCGTAGACGAATCTGAATATAGTCAGGCGGTCTATTAACAACACAGTACTGACCTTAGAATTCATGACATGTTTTTTGTCACATGTTCTCTGGGATCTCAAGTTGTAATATCGACCTGTATATATATGAAAAAAGTTAGGAAACTTGAATCATAGCATGCACATTCATTCAGTTTCTCAAATTAAATGTTACTCACTGACAATGAATCAAGAAAGCTCCATAAATAGCTAGGGCACCAAGACTGTATGAGTATAATAAACAAACATCTTTACAAGTTACTCACAGACACACATACAAACACACACACGCACACACTGACGTCTCTGAGCCGCTACAGTGGAAATGTTGATTAGATTGAAATTTTTGCCACAATATCAACACTAATCACCATAATGATCAATACCTTTCTTGTTAGTAAAATCTTTCTTCATAGCCGTACATTAATTCAGCTTGTCCTGGCTCCACTCTTTCTCTTCCTCTCTCTCTCGCAAAGATACACACCAGACAAACAAACTATCACACACACACACACACACACACACACACACACACTGTCATCGGACACATTTGTAAACTCAGGCAATGTATGGAGAGCTGAAAGAGATGGCTGGGTCTGCTCAGTTTGTCTCGATAGAAACAGACTGACAGTCTATAAAAACTGTAAAATATAACCCTTTTACAGTCCCACATGTTTGAAAGACCCAAAACGAACATCCGTAAGTGGACTACTTGATTTTTATATCAGTGATCACTATACCCGGTTTCCACTGTATTTTTCTGTATTATAGTAGACACTAACATTAAAGTCTATGCATGACCCCTCTGTCGGTGTCGAATGGGGTGGCATCGTGATGCTGGGTGTGTTGACTTCACATGGAAAGGTGTGTGAGTGTGTGTCTCCCAAAGTATTTTTTTCTTAAGAATATTTTTTGGGGGCTTCAATTGCCTTTAATCGATAGGAATGAGAGCAAGCTGTGAAAGGGGGACAGAGAGAGAATGGAGGACGACATTGCAAAAATGGCCACAGGTTGGAGTTGAACCCAGGCAGCAGCCCCAGTCTCCCACAGTCTTAACGTCCAGTTTAAGCCATATATTAAGTCTGTTTCAGTCTCCACAAGTCCAACACAGTTTAGTTCATTTCAGTTCAAACAACAGATAAAACAACAGGAAAAAAAAAACACATCACTCCATACTGCTCCTGTGGTGTCATCCAAGTGTCCAGAAGCCCGACATTGAAATCTGACTTGAAACGGTGCCATTTAAACCGTGTTTTAAGCCTAAATTTGTTAAATGCATGCAATAAGGCGACAGTGAATGACTCTGCAGAGACAGAACATCGAAACAGTATGTAACATTTTTTTGCGATATCTTGCCGCTGCATAATTATAACCACCGCTGCTTCAGGATCAGGACTGATGCAAATTAAAGATCCAGTCGTCTTTTACCATGTCAGAGTCTCCTGTCTGTGTGTCCTCCCTCTAGTCTCCCTCTGACCTGTGCTCACTTTACAACTATTAAGACCCTTACAGTACTGACGATTACTTTGTTTGTCGGTTCGCTTTGGAGTTTATGAGGCATGTACTTAATTTGCTACACACAACACGCGCACAGTCAGGACATCAGTGTCAAAGTGATCTTAACGATCCGGATTCATGATCTGACACCATCGATAAATAACACACACACATAAAAGGCTGCAGACAGGAGAGAAGTACTTCCTGTGGATTATAACACAATGCAGTTTTGTAGTAACAGTCTAAAATACTTTTCTAAAGCACAAATCATAAAGCTAGTGAAGATGCACACTTCTAATTGTCACAAAGTGTTACAAAAAATAAATCATGTATATGAATAAAATTATTTGATGCATCAATAATATACTGCAACCATCCACCTGGTCACTATGTTCACTCATTGGTCTTTACAACTGATCCATATGAGTAACAACTTAAAGCCTCTCTGAAACAACATCAAACTCAAACATTGTACAACTGTGAAATTGGTTTTACGGTTGCCATCTGATGAAAATTAAAAGGAAAGTTCCAGTAACTGAGTTTGGGCTGTCAATTTGCTGGAATTCACCCATGTGTTGGCTAGTAAGTCAGCCACTAAGGTGAATGTTTTCATTGTTTGTGTGTCAATGGAGATACATATCTCTTGTTTCTAATTGATTTCTCTTTTGTTTGCTTAGAAATTATTTCTGTTCTGTTAATTGTGTTTAGAACATGAACTGCTGACATATTTCAGTGTCTAACCCTGAGAGGTGCTTATTCTGATTTATATTTGTGTAGAATGTATGATCATTGTAGCAAAAACTGAATATAGAGCTGAGAGATGTTTATAGAATGAGCTATACACAACAAACATAGATCATAGTCAGTGAGAGGCTGAACTCTCAAATGTTTTTATTTCTAGTGTAACTTCAGGATTATAGTGACACCTGACCCTAATTTTTAACCACACAAAGGTACTGCTGAACGAATAATAACTGTAGTGAACATTGACATCTCTGTTAGCAGGAATCAGGCCTGTGAAACTTACTTCATCCTGACTGGTGAAACAGCCTTGTTGCACAACATCAAAACCAACATGAATCTCCAGCAGCCAGCACCTCTCATCCCTCCTGTCCACCCTGATGTGCAGATGAAGCCCCTGCCCTTCTATGATGTACTGGATGTCCTAATCAAGCCTTCAAGTCTAGGTCTGATCTGTTTTCTTTCTTTTTTAATTTTAAATGATAACTCTAGATTTTGACATCATTACTTACAAATATGATATATGAGGTGTACTACATAAAACATATATCATATAATAATCATAGATGGAGAAACATATTGCCAGCGGATTGCATATTTGAATGTGAGCAAAACATTTTATGACTGGCTTCAGAGTCTTATATAGTACAGAGAAAGCCTTGGCGAACGTAACTATTAACTAATTCCTTGCTGGAGAGGAGTGAAGAGACATCCATTCTCTTTTTAATTACACTTGACAGAGAAATATAATAAAACATACATTAGCCCATAATCTGAATTAATAAGAAGGCATACCTCTGCTCTTGACAAAAATATCAAAATGTACACAGTAGCATAGGCTTCACCTGTTTGAAAATACACAGCTGCACAACTAGTCCCCAAGCTATATTAATACTCATACTCCTCGACGCACTGGAAGAGGTGGAGGGGTTGCAGCAATCTCTAAATCTAATCTGTCAACCCTCGACCAAAAGAAAGTTAAAACTACTTTGAAAATCTTATAATCAGCCTCATCCATCCAAGCCTGAAATCACATAAACCAATTCATCTAGCTATCATATATCGTCCAGCTCAACTGTGAGGAACCTTTGAGTTATGTTTGACCAGGACATGTCATTTGACCAACACATAAAACAAGTCTCTAGGACAGCTTTCTTCCACCTGCGCAATATCAACAAAATTAGAAACATCCTGTCTCAGAAGGATGCTGAAAAACTAGTCCACGCATTTGTTACCTCTAGATTAGATTACTGTAATTCCTTATTATCAGGATACCCCAGGAAATCGATAAAAAGTCTCCAGTTGGTCCAAAATGCYGCAGCACGAGTGCTGACAGGAACTAGAAGGAGAGATCATATTACTCCTGTCTTAGCTTCTCTACATAGGCTCCCTGTAAAATTCAGAATAGAATTCAAAATCCTGCTCCTCACATTTAAAGCCCTTAATAATAAAGCCCCTTCATATATCAAAGACCTAATAACACCATATTATCCAAATAGATCACTTCGTTCGCAAAACACAGGCTCTCTAGTGGTTCCAAGAGTCTGTAAGAGTAGAACAGGAGGTAGAGCATTCAGCTACCAGGCTCCTCTCCTGTGGAACCAGCTCCCACTCTGGGTTCAGGAGGCAGACACCATCTCAGCATTTAAAATTAAACTTAAAACGCTCCTTTTTGATAAAGCCTATAGTTAGTTCTGGATCAGGTGAGTCCTGAACCATCACTTAGTTATGCTGCTATAGGTCTAGACTGCTGGGTGAACTCCCATCATCCACTGAGCACCTCTCCACTTCTCTCTGTCTCTCTGCCCCCCCACAATTATTCATTTATTTATTTTAATACATGTCAATGACTATTTCACTTTGTACTCCCATAGTCTCTCTCTCTCTTTTTCTCTCTCATTTCAGAGACCCCCGAACCTCAGGACAACAACTTTTACTATTACTAATTACAATATCGCACTAATTCATTATGATATCAAATGTGTCTGTTATCCATAATAATTAATAGTCTTTACACTGTTGTTCACTTTTTAACTAGTCAGATCTGATACCTGATGACGCTCAAGTGTCCCTGGTCTTTCTCGCCCCCCTCTCCACTATCCCTCTCTCTTCTCGCCCCTATTTTCCACCCATCTCTCATCTCCTTCCCCCGTTTTCTTTGCTCACCCCAACTGGTCGAGGCAAATGTCCGCCCACATTGAGCCTGGTTCTGCTAGAGGTTTTTCCTCTCCACATTCGCCAAAGTGCTTGCTCATTGTGGGAACTGTTGGGTTTCTCTATATTTTGATTTATGGTCCTGACCTTCTATGTAAAGTGCCTTGAGATAATGTATATTATGATTTGGCGCTAAACAAATTAGTCAACAGTGAAAATGTGAAAATTGAAATTACTTATGAATCCCTTCTCTTCGACCACCGATATAGGGACCATATCCTTGGCAATGTGGTATGCCACCGCCTTGGTTATGTCGTGCTATGGCTGGGCGATATGGACTGAAAGTCATATCTCGATATTTTTTAGCTGAATGGCGATACTCAATATATATCAATATTTTTTCTGTGACGTAATTGGGGTTTCCCCCAAAGCATTATAGCATATTAGATACATTTTTTCCCAGAGGCAAACCCTTAAAAAAAACAAAAAAAAAAACAGTCATAAGTTTAAGCCACGTGCCAAATGTCACACAGGCACCTTTATTAATGTAAACAGAACCTTAAGTGCATCGCTTTGTGCACATTTCAGCAAATATGTAAACTGGGCATTCCTTCTTTGTGCACATTTCAAATAAAATATGTAAACAGAACTTTAAGTGCATCTCTTTGTGCACATTTCAAACACTTAAATCGACAGGGTATCTCTGTGCACATCTTAAATAACAAAAGAGCAAAAACAAATGAAAACAAAAAATAACAAACCAACTTCTGTACAATTAACAGATTTTGTGCCAGGAAAACTAACCTGTCAACACTGTCAGGTTTTAGGGATACCCTTTGGCAAGTTTCAATGTTCCCACTGCAACTAAACACCCTTTCGGAAGGGGAGCTGGTGGCTGGCACATAAAGGTACTTCTTTGCCAGGCGGCTCAATGCAGTAAAGTTAACTTCATGATTCCTCCACCATTTCAGAGGGTCAGCATGACTCTCTACACCAACTTACAACAAGTAGCTTGAAAGCTCAGTTTCTACTGCGCCCTCCGTTTGCGTGTAGTGCTTGTTATAGTAGGTGTGCTGTGCTCAAAGAAGCTGGCCAGAGATTTCTTCTTTTTAGCTGTGGGTGGCACTGCCACTGCTGGAAAAGGCAGCTCAGACAAACATCTGGCCTGGTCACTGGGCAAAGACTAAAGTATAAGTTGTCTGAAGAATAATTCCAGATTATTATTAATACCTAACATACAGTCATCACTTGTGTTTTCAGGAGCAAGTACTGCACAGAGGTACCACCAAGAAAAATATTTCATCTTTGCCTTGACACCACAGCAAGTTCGAGAAGTATGCATATCCAGGTAGGAATGATAAAAATCTCAGAAACTAAACAAATACTCTGAAACACATGCCTGTGTGTGATGTAAAAGATTAAAATGTTACGGATTCAATGGTGAACCTTGTTTTTTCTTTTTCAGGGACTTTCTGCCAGGTGGCAGAAGGGACTATATGGTTCAAATTCAACTGAGGTGAGAATTGAGAATGGTCATTTCTTGAAATGTTTATACCTTAGAATCTGAACCAAGAAATGCACACAAATCAAAACTCTTTTAATATCATGTGGAAATTCTTGATTAGTGATTCCTTGAAGACCAAACCAATCCCTCCTTCATAAAGGCATTCACTAGGTCTACCGGAATTGGGTGCAAACACTAAAAAATATGTTTCCTTAAATATTATAGGTGTAGAAATGTCTAGATTCTAAGATGCATTGTGATGCAAATATGGACAATTCTGCTTTCATGCAGTGACAGAACATAATCAATTCAAGTTTTTCACAGCGTTCATTTCATAGCAGTGGTCCACCACTGCATGATTACTGCCGATGCTTCAGGATTAGCGCAGACGCATATTAAAGGGATAGTTCACCAAAAAAAGAAAAGTCACTCATCTACTCACTACTATGCCAATGGAGGAGTGGTTGAGGTGTTTGATACCACAAAACACTTAAGGAGTCTCAGAGGTAAACTGTTGGAGTGTGCCCATGCATACGTGAACGTGCCTCTATGGAGGTCTTTTAGGCTTAATACAAGCTGTAAATGACGTTTCAAGTCAAATTTAAATGTCCTGGCTTGAAGACACCACATGAACAATATGGAGGCATGTTATGTTTTTTCTGTTGTTTTATTATGTCTGAAGAAGAGGTCACGATTTACTTCAATTGTATTGGATTGTTTACCCCTGAGACTCCAGTAGTGTATTGTGGACTCAAACACTTCACACCCCCTCCATTGACATAGTGATGAGTAGATACTGAGTGAATTTTCATTTAATTTTCATCATGAACTAACCTGGAGTATCCTGAGTGTCTGCCCTTCTCACCCCCCAGCTGTCATGTACTCACTTTACATTTTAACAATAAAAGTATTGACTGTGTATGTCATTCTTTCTTAACTTCTAGCAGAGAGCTTTTTAATATCTTTAACCCTTGTGGCTACAAGTAATGTGCCTGCCATCTTATACTACATTCACACTACTTTGTTTTAGTTTAAAATGCATTACTGCGGCTAAATTTATACCTGCTGTCCACACTATTCCATTGTTCTAAACAGAGAACTTTTGAAATGCTGCTGGTCCTGTTTTACTAGGAACACTCCAAGGTTGGTTTTTATCTGTCACAACTACCAGCTGTGAACACAAAGCACTGCTAACACTTACTGTCATTACCAGAACCCCCCCCCCCAGCTTTTACGTTTTACAATTGCTGTTCCACCTTCAAAGTAGTTTCTATAACTACACAACTAACTGCAGATCAGACAGTCTGCTTCCTGTTTAGTCTGACACAGTGTATCCTCATAGGATTTGGATTTTCAGGGGTTGTTAGCCAAAAAAAACCTTTTGCTGGAGGTATTATGTTTTCACTTTGTCTGTTTGTCCCATTCCTGTGAAAGCGATATCTCAAGCATTCCTGGACAGAATTTCCTCAAATGTTGTACAAATATTCACTCAATTCCAGGTTGAACTGATTAGATTTTGGTGGTCAAAGGTCACAGCTAACTCACAAAGCACATTTGGCACAAGTATTCACTTGGCTTCGAGAATTATTTCACTTGATTTTGGAAGCCAAAATCTGATATCTTAAGTTCGGCTTGATGGAATGTCATCAAATTTGCTACAAAGATGAACTGATTATATTTAGGTAGTCAAAGGTCAAGATCACATAGCCTTGTGCTGTTTTAAATACAATATATCAGGAAATCCCAAAGGGAATTTCATCAGTATGTAGAACTATGTACACAGAAACTGCACTGGTTTATGTGGAGGCATACAACTGCAATGCGTTGAGTCTAGTTGTTCTAAAACTCAGTTTTAAAAATCTATACATAGTAGTGTGGATATATCCTAATTCGCTGGCCACGCTAGATGTTTTTTTTTAAATTATTTTATGACATGAAGATGCACTGCTTCATACTGCAGAGTTCTGGCATTTAGTTTAGTACATAGACCTATATTTTACTCAAAGAAATACAGTAGTCATACCAGAAACCTCACATAGGAGCTTTGCAGCAGACATGCTCCCTGTGTTAAAGCAGAGGCCCAGAAGATGCAACATATCAGCAACGCAATCGTCACACGAGTGAAAGTGTTGCCTAGGCTTTCGGGATTTTCTTGGAATAAGTGTTTTATAGTGTTTTTCTTTTCTTAAAGACCACTCAAAGGAGTTTACACTATAAGTCAGGTTTACACACACAGATATACTGTACAGCGCTTCTATATGCTGTTTTTTTCTATTCCCACTTTCATCGATCAACCATCGTTGGCATTTAATTTCAGTGTCTTGCCCAAAGACACTTTGGCATATGGACTGGAGGACCTGTTGATCAAATTACCAAAATCTGTTTTTTGGACAACTTGCTCTACCTCCTGAGCCATATGGCACACCAAAGTAGAAGAAATTTTAGCACTACAATATCCATCTAACTGTTTTCTTTAATCCGGTTTAAATTCATGTCACTGATTAATTTCCAGTTACTCGCTTTTCATTTTTGTGAAAAGTCTGGTTTATCATTTGGAAATATGTATTCAGGCTCATGTTTCTGTTTTTTCAGGTTTTGCTTGTCAGAGACAAGTTGCCCTCAAGAGGATAATTATCCCAACAGTCTTTGTATAAAAGTCAATGGGAAGCTGTTTCCCTTGCCAGTAAGTGTTGTTTTACGGCGCACTTCCAATTAAAAAGAACAATCCAGTTGACTACGATGAAAACTCTGTTTTACTCTTGTAGGGGTATGCACCACCACCCAAAAATGGTGTGGAACAGAAGAGACCCGGAAGACCTTTGAACATTACCTCACTTGTCCGTCTCTCATCTGCAGTACCTAATCAGATTTCAGTGACGTGGGCGCCTGAAATTGGAAAAGTGAGATCAATACTTAATTGGAATTCTTTCTTTTAGCCTATCCTCTTCTCTTTCCTTGATGGCATCATATTTGGGCTCAATAACAGTGATTTCTCAACTGAGGTTTTTTTTATCCTATGGTATTTCAGACCTATTCTATGTCTGTCTACCTGGTGAGACAGCTGACATCCCCTCTGCTGCTGCAGAGGCTGAGGATGAAGGGCATCAGAAACCCAGACCACTCCAGAGCATTAAGTAACTATTGAATCAACCATTCTTACAAGATGAAAGTTAAATAGCAGCAGTCTTAGCTTGTCACACTTTATTAGATGTTTTCATGAGAGCTGCAACAATGATAAATTAATTAGTTGATTAACTGAATGCAAATGTTTTAATTTAATAAGCATTTTACTCATTTCAAATTAAACAATAATGCCAAATATAGACTGTAAGTATTATCATTCTGATGCTTTGTCACATATAATTTTAAATAGAATTCTAAGGGTTTTGGACTCTTTGTCAGACAAAACAAGACACCTTTTTCTAGCTAATAATAGATTTAATGATAGAATAATCATACTATTGTAAAATGCACATTATGTCACTACATTGCCTGTCCTCCCAATGCAACATCATTGCCACACGCACACACACACACACACACACACACACGACAGCTAGCTTAGCCACTTCCGGTGGACTTTGAGGCTTAAAACACGGTGTAAATGACATGAATAGGAATATCCGGGCTTGCAGACACTTGGATGACACTGCACAAGCAGTATACAGGCATGTTATGTTGTTTTATTACATCTGAAGTCTAGGTCATCATTGACTTCAGTTGTATCGAATTCTGCTCTAACAAACACTTAACCCAGCCCTCATTTGCATAGTGATGAGTAGATAATGAGTGAATTTTCATTTTTATCTATCCCTTTAAGTTAATAGGAACTCCCCATTGTGTGATAATTTGTGGGAGGAACTTCTCTCCTGTCTGCAACCAGTGTGGGTCCCTGTTGCAACACACACACACACACACACACACACACACACACACACACACACACACACACACTGGGGCACTGAGGTTGCATTGAGAGGCCAGGCATTATAGTGACCCTGAATGTGAATTAGTAGTTAATAGTGAAGTTCAACATCCAGAGGCTAGCAGTGTGCTTTTAAGTTTTTTAGTATTTGAGGACACATCCACATAAGATATGATCTTTCTCACACTTTCCTTGTCCAAAATCTACAAAAATCTGGAGAAATCTAGCATTATCAGGTTCCATTCATTCCTAAACTCAAATATGGAAACCAAGTTTTTTTGCATAGAGGTTCATGACAGGTTGTGAATGCAGGTGACTGCACAGCTCTGTGGCAAACTCCCCTAAGGCAGGGACCCTGCAACCATTTTTTTCCATGAGCAGCTACAGTTTGAAAGGCTATGGCTATCAGTTGTTTACCTTTTGCATTTGGTGTAGTTAATAGTTTTTGGGTGAATGTTACGCTTATTCTATGTTCTCTCTCCTGCTCTCTGTGTTCCAGTTAAAGAGAAGCTGACCGCAGATCCAGACAGTGAAATTGCTACAACAAGTCTTCGAGTCTCACTTATGTGTCCGGTAAATGAGGCATCTGTGCGGAATCTGATGTGATCATAGCAACTCTCAAATTGTTCTGACAGGGAAAGTTGTAGACCGTATGGAAATGTATTTGGCACTCTGTATATATTCTGTCCATGGATCAGGGTAAAGCAGTGGAAGCATCAGCAGCTGTTGGAAGTCTAAAATCTCAAATCCATAATATAGTAAAATGCACTAAAAGTGGAGCCTACTGACCATTCTATCACTTTCATATACTCTCTATTTGGTCGTCATCAACCCCTGACTCGCTTGCGGTGAATCCAGCTGTTGTCCAGACTTCTACTGGATTTCTACTGACATTATACTAGGAGGTCAGTCAAATAAAGTCCGTAGAAGCTGCGGAGTGTCTCACTCTGACATTTGCGTTCACACATGCACCTCCTCCGGAGAAAATACATCTGGATCTCTGGAGTCTAGTGCATATCTGAAAGCAGCTATAGTGACACATCTAAACGCTTTGCAGGACGGGACAGACTGATATGTTGATCAATATACAGCACATTTACATTGGCTATCTCAATTTATTGTTAGTCATGTCCATAGAAACTTCTTTCCAGCGAAAAAGTTACAACACGAGTGGAGGAGTTTGCAAAATTTGCGGGTTAACAATTTTTCATATCTGGGAAACGGGAAAAACAAGCTCTACTCTCATTGAGACTGATTATGTGCTTATTTTGACAGCATGAATAGCGATTTTCCTGAAATTTTGTCACAGAACTTCAGTTACGTTTCAATTTGCCTCTGGATTAATATAAGATGAAAAAAATGTCATGGTTATTTTTGCAAGATATCATCCCTACTTGCAGCTATGTGCATTTTACCTGCAGTGGTCGCCATGTTGATTTGCTTCCTCTGTTAGTAAAGAGTAAGAGATTTTTTGTCTGCCCCTTCGTTTTTAGAGGGTGGAATATACACAATGTTTGAAGGGGTGGTTAAAGGGCTAGAAGGCCACAACCCCTATATCACATAGAGAAATGGGAAAACACTACCCCTTCACCACCACATAAAATGAAGGGGGTAGGGCCAAGTGGTCAGGCTAAGGGATGAATTGGGACAGGCCCCTAGGCACTCGATTCAACCTCAACTCTTTTGCAGTTTCAAGCTTCTTTCAGACCTACACTGAACTCTGAATAATGTCCGAGGGGCTATATGTTAGACTTTAAATGTCGGAGTGGAGCCTCCGGAGCTTCTACAGCAAGTCCCCTAGTAAGAACTCCAGAAAATGTCCAAATGAGCCGATGCTGATACAGATGGAGATCCTCTGGAGGATTCAACATAAGCAAGTGTTTGCCTTGATGTTTCCAACATGCGACAGATGCGAAAAAGAAAAAATAATAAAAATATCTTAGGCTGAAAAAGTAGCACATACACATAGTAGACATTGACAAAAATGTGATGAGATGAGAGCTCAAGTGATACAGGCCGACACCTGTGTTGATGTGCTGGTAACAAAACACATCCGCAGCATAATTTATGTTACGTCCTCCCACTGTCTGCTGCGTCACCCGTCCTCCTGAGGGGAGAATCGCCTGCTGTGTGTGAAAGGTAAATACCGGAGAAAGTCGGTAGGCAATTGTACGGACATTCTCTGGAGTTCATGTTTGAAAACGACTTCAGAAAGAAACCCAAAACAGACACTGTACTAGTCCTTGTAGTTATGAAAAGGTCTTTCCTTCCTTTTTTTGACTGACGTAAATATGTCTTGTCCTCCAGCTGGGTAAGATGCGACTTACAGTGCCATGCCGGGCAGTGACCTGCTCTCACCTGCAGTGTTTTGATGCTGCCCTCTACCTACAGATGAATGAGAAGAAACCCACCTGGATCTGTCCTGTGTGTGACAAGAAGGCTGCATATGAGACTCTTATCATCGATGGGTTAGTTTAACTAATTAAGCCACTTAACACATACCATGACATAATATTGCTGTGGCAGTTGAACAGGTTTGGGCAGATTTAACAGTTAGTCTGGTGCAAATTTATCTCATTAAATATTACAAACAATTCTAACATTTAATATTTATTGTACATTTAAGTAGTGCTGAGTAGCAGTGACTGCATTGCAAAAATCAAATTTTCAATTTTAAAGTAATAATTAAATATGCTTAATATGTGACAAACTTGTAGTTTACATATTGATTGGTCAAAATTAATTTTACAGATATCTTTCATTATTGAGTAAGAATAACATTCACACATCTCTTTAGTGGAATTTCCACATATTTAAAAAATATTGTGATTATTAGAAATGTTTGTTCCAATTTCACATATCAACAATGTAATTTGGACATCACGACATGACGTCAAGAAACCAAACCACAAATGTTTTCATAATTTGCATCTGCATGTAGGGTTTAGAGAGTATTAAGTTTAAACCTGAGCTTGTGACCTTTTTTTTTTCAAATTTCATGAAAAGTAACAGTTGTGGATATATACAAGGCTTCTATCCCATCAACAGTATGAGAGAAGAAATTAACACTAATGTGAAAATCATTCTTTTATTTTTTTCCTTTTTCAGAGTGTAAAATGTAGATTAGCAGTTCTGTAGCAGTTCACTATTTCAGTTATTTTAATGATGCCATCAGTGGCAGGTTACAAACTTCAGTCAATGCTGAGAAACTAATTATGTGAAGTGATTTAAGACCAAAATCAAACACAAACCCTCAGTTAAATATTTAAAGTCTGTTTAAAGCTGTGAGAATCAGGTACACTGAGCTTGTCACACAGGAGAAAAACTGTGTTATTAACCACCTGGACAAATTGTAAATGTATGAAAAAATTCATGAATGTAGGGTTTAAAATCATGGGAAAGTAAGCAGTATTCTCCACTCTAGGCTGGGGTGCTGTCATTTGAAGTTACTGTAACCACACCTTTTCAAGCAGTCCAAAATAAGCGGTTTGGTCCACACCAGAGTCTAACTGACTGCTTTCACTGCAAAGACGAACCGTGACACCTCTCCCTGCCCAATCCCCCACGCTGCCACAGCCACAGCCTGTGTGTTTTTGTGTCCAGTCACACTCCATAAAAAATGAAAAGGGGGTGGGACTGGCTGCGTGTGCAGCGCTTGATGGCTGCACAGTGGATCTGGTGTTGGTGTTACGGGTGTCTGTTGACACAGGCTGTGAGTCTGCAGCAGAGCTTCAATGTAAAGTTTCTGACATGACTACTGTATTTTCCTTGAATAAAAGTCAGGCTATGTACTCAGCTAAATTTCAGAACACTGCAATGAAGCTGTGCATCTTCCAGTCCTGTGATAACAATCAAAACCTTGATAAAACAAATGACTACATTCGGTCAACAGAAACGACAACAAAGTGTTGCAAATATTTATTTTTTAATTATATTAACCCGCAACACAAGCAGTGCAACTCACACTCCTGAGACGTGCTGCTCATGCAGGCAGTGTGGCAGCTCTGGGCTGTTAACGTTCATGTCGAGCTCACGCAGCTAGATTTGCCCGGGCATAACAGTCATAAGCTCTGTCATACTGGTTTTATTATAAAAATAATATTCACCAGTTATTGCACAATTATCAACAATTTTTTTTATTTTTCAGTTTATTCTTGGAAATCCTGAACGACTGCTCGGATGTTGATGAAATCAAGTTTCAGGAGGATGGAACGTGGTGTCCCATGAGACCAAAAAAAGAAGCGGTCAAGGTCCCATCTCAGTCAGCTCCAAAAATTGACAGTAAGTATTTCATCTTTATATCTGCAGGTTTAAGCTGTTCCAAATGAACACAGTTATTTGGGAACAATCCACATAGAGCTTCGGTGTTGTCCTTAAACTATTAATGCCAGAAATACTGGCCAGTTCTTTGAGGAGAATACATGACCTTTTGTAAAATTTCATTTAAATTAAATTTTATTTGTATAGCGCCAAATCATAATATACATTATCTCAAGGCACTTAACATAGAAAGTCAAGACCTTAAAATCTTATTTGTGAGTAAAGGTGGTGGAAAACAGTGGACTTAAATGCTATGGGCAGGAAAAGAAAGCAGGTTAGAAAGAGGCCAATACAAATTTTGATTAAGGTCAGTTTGTGGAAGTTGTTGACAATGTCTTTTATTCTTTCTTTTTACCTCAGCTCCATTGCGCCAGTCGTCAGTGGTGCCCCATTCTACTGAGCCCAGCTCCGCCAAGAAGGCTGATGTGATTGATCTTACTCTGGAGAGCTCCTCATCTGATGAGGAGGACACAGACCCTCCATTGAAGAAACACTGCGTTTACATTACCAATAATGAGGAGATGCATGCGAAGGGGTAAGTTTGTTATGTTATTTTGTAGAACAAGAGACAGCAGCATGTAGCAGGATATTGGGGCCGATCACTGATTGTTTGAAGTAGACTCGGCTCATGCTGAGCACAGGATCTATGTCCCTATGTTTACGCCTGATTAACATGCATCTTTGTTGATCCAAGTGATCACTTATGATCGGATATCTCTTCCCCGCACTATATGCACATAAACACTACAGGGCTGAATCCTATCTAAAATTTCGTCAGTAAGTGTTGATTATTACTGTCAAGTTCCATTTTTTCCATTCAGCACCACATTATACTCCTGTATCAGCCTGTGTAACGTTTCACCAGCGCTCTCAGCAGCTGCAGGATTGACACTGCAGGATTTTTTAACTGAACTGTATGAGCAGGACGCACACTTAAACTTTCTGTGACTGTGTGGAAATCTGATGTTTTCACCTCACAGATAGAAGATGGAAAAAAGGCAATAATACCAGAGAAAGGAGACATTTGCGCCATGTTCGACCATGCAGTGTCTGTCCTGCTGGGCTGTGACAGGTTCTCACCTGGGAATCACACACAGCGGACTGCAGTAGAGGAGGATATACAACCTGATCATACAGACCACTTGTGATAGAATATCCCACTCTACATGCAAATAAACATGCATCACCCCTTTTGCAAAGATGAAATGTGTTAAAAACAAAAGGAATAAATAGACAAAATGCTTTGCGTTTTAACCGACCACAACACTACGGAGCCAACATACTGGGGTAAACGCACTCAGACGTTTTTTTTCTAACACAAAGTAAGAAATAACTTCATGTACTGTATAACATTTGCCGAATTTACAAGAAGGCTCAAATAATTTTGAATTAATCGTAAACGGTGATTCACAAAGTTTATAAAGTTTGTCTTCACTCACCAACTATCAAAAGTGCATGAGAAACAGAGTCTGCTTATATTGTGGAGCACAACCATCTGCTGCTTAAGTGAGAGCACAAACACGTAATTTGCATCACAGAAAAACATATGGTAATCAGACTCCTTGTTAAACTGCCAGACCGGTGAAGCCCTCGATGCAGCCATTGTCACGTTGAATTGATACTGTGCATGTGAAACTCTTTACGGAGAGGAGAAGAGAAGCAAGATGCCTCACTCGTTAGCTATTTCCAACATCAGCTCTGGGAAAAATCTAGTAAAAGTATTCATCAAATAACTACCTAGTTTTTCTTCGTCTGACCAGCTCCTCTGATCGGAGTTTATAGAGACCGGTTAATCAAAATTGAGGGAATATCAACCGATACCGGAGCACCCTTATTTTCTATCACTTTTACCACCCAGTGAGATATATATGACAACGTTGTCAACACCAGAAAAGATATGCTGTTTTGGATAGGATCTGGAGCGCTTAGCTGCAGACAGAGCTTTGTTATGCAGTAACTACTGTTTGGACATAAAGCATGCCATCAGAGATTGCTGTTTTGTCTCATAGAGTGTTGACCTACCAGCCCACTGTGCGCATGCCGAATGTCCAGTCCCTGGACCCGACGTATCTGACCTCTACACTTGCTGACTATGCAGTCCCCTTCCATCCATCTACCCTGGCTACCATCCCCACAGACATGCAAAGTGAGTCAGCTGGGTAGTATGACTGTCAGAATTGTCAAGTGGTGCTGTTCTTAAACACTTGTATGTTTCCTATCTTTTAGGTCTGGATTTGTTTTCCTTAATTCAAGCGGATCCTCAGGTACGGTTTTTGTTCTTTTTAACATTAAAAGTGGCGTTATACATGATTCATATTAATCCGATTAAGGAGGCAACAATAGAGAACAGCCTCAAATTGCTGCTTATAGTGGGACAGTTATTTTTCTACCTCAGAGAGATTTAATCAAATCCAAATTCTTTCACATTCATTGTTGAATTAGTTTAGGTCTAATCTCCATCATTTGCATATGGTAAGTAAGTGTCAGTAAAGGCTGGCAGTTCCAGCTAAAACTTTGAAAACAGTCCACTGGCCCAATGAGATTTGTCCGGTCAATCCAACTGTGGTTGAGAGATCTTGAGAGTTGAAAGGGGCAAGGACAAATTGGTTGCTCTTTTTCTGCTCAACAGGCAGTTAACATTACAATTGCTATGTTTCACAAAGTTTTGATTCTATGTTAGCAAACAGGCCCCTGTGTCACATATGTGTGTGTGGCAATGTTAAAACAAGTCACAGAAGTTTGCCAATTTGCCATTTATTTGATTTGATGCAAAATTAAAAATATTATGCCAGATAACATTACCTGAACTTCAAACCTACAGTCCTCATCTGTAACTGCAGTTCTGTTAAATTAATAATCTCTCAATAGTTTTAACCCTGTTGTGTGTGAGTGTGTGTGTGTGAGTGTGTGTGTGTGTGTGTGTGTGTGTG